AGAATCAGGCAGATGGTGAGAGTTGTGTAGGACGTGATGTACTGAACAGCAGAACGTCAACTACAGCTGACTGCACTTGGCATCAACACCGTGCCATTTATTTCTGGGTTTGTGTGCACATGTAATCTGGAGTTATAAACCTGTATAATAAAAAAAAAACATTTAAACTTCATGGAGCTGATTAATTGATTGATGATAACTCAATTAGCAATGTGCAATTTTCAAATCAGAGGCACAATTGCAGTTGTTTTAATAATAACTTAGCCAGCTGTAAAATACAGAGTGTTTACTTACGTATAGTCGCATCTAGAGCTCCACTGATACATGATACTATATACTGATAATGAACGATGGGGTCATTCTTTGTTAACGTTCAAGCAATGTGTTTTACAAAATCGGAAACAACTTATCGTGTTACATGCTGTGATACGTACTCTGCTACATGCGCTGCAGACAGTGCTGAGAGTAGAGTGAACAAGAGTCAGAGTTGCTTTGCTGGAGAAACGATGTAATGGTGCGATTTCTATATTATGTTCTTTAAATTACCGCAAATCAGACAACATAAATGCCAAAAATGCTGTATCTGTGATAGGCTAATACCAGCAGATGACACTGGCCAACCAGTTTTCAGCCTTTTAGACAGATTCAAACCACTTCTGTGCTCATCTTATAGCTGTTTAAGCATATTTTCCTAAAATTATTTATTAAATTTGAGTATTGCCAATACCAATGCAGCATGAATGGATGGATGGATGGATGGATGGATGGATGGATGGATGGATGGATGGATGGATGGATGGATGGATGGATGGATGGGAGTTCTTAATTGCTGCCATTTTCTGGCTTGTAGTTTGTATATTTACTTTTTTTTTCTAACAGAGTGGCTTGTTCACAGAAAAAAAAAACATCACTCCATATAAGCAACTACTATTTAATCGGTTACATTCTTATACGTTTTTTTGGATTTGTTGTTTTTTAATAAGCACAAATTGCAATTGCAGACTAAAAACATTGAGGCAGCATAAGGCCTTTATATGTTTATCCTGCGATACTTCAGTAAATCGCTTTAGGTTTTTGGCAAAATGAGCATTTTGGCTGCCGCTCCGACTCTGAGGCTAAATTTTGCTGTTTACACAACGACTATGATGCTGTGACTTGGCCGGGGATTGAGGTCGAGTTAAGGGTTTGTTTGGGTTCATTAAAGGAACTAAGAGGTTGACCGGTCATCATGGGTGAGCAAAAAATATTAGCACAATTGATAATCATCAGACACACGCTTTCTTCAAGCTACAGAGCCCATTATAAAAACAGAAGAAGACAACATGATCAAAAAATCTCATTCATGCAGTTCAGTGAAGGTACAATGAGGAGAAAGCAGTGTGAAACTTCATCTGAGCTGCTCACTGTGTTCAGCTTCTCACTAGTGTGTGTGTGTGTGTGTGATGAATATTTCAGCGTTTTCACTGTAAAATGACACCACTGGAGCTTACGTGACTGCTTGCCACATGATGGAAAAGTGACTTCATGAATGAACTGCACGCCTGTTTATTTTAATGTGTGACCTCTGCATGTGTGTACGTGTAATCCCTCCCTGCTGCTGCTCTACCAACGCCACTGCTTAATCTCCAGATTATCAGCCAATCTCACCCAACTCGACCCTCCGCGCACACACAAACACACACACACGTGGCAAAGCATGATTAAATGATTTACACAGGGGTCAACTGGACAGAGCATGATGTGAAAACAAACAGGAATGCTGGCAGACAGAGTGTGTGTATTATAGCAGAGGGAACACAGAAAAAGGAACGTGCTTGTCCATTCTAATGAACACACACAGCCTTCCTACAAGACCAAGAATCCCATTTGACACCCAGACACCCTCGTACAAGATGACAGCGCACATATACACACATACCAGTGACTATAGGGCTTTGTTTTACTGTAGAATGACACACACACCCACACCAGTAGGCTGACAGAAGTGTTTGATGACATGACCTAAATTTTCACTTTTTAAAGCGAGACAGAAGCTGTGTAAGTGTGTGTGTGTGTGTGTGTGTGTGTGTGTGTGAGAGAGAGAGAGAGAAAGAGGGAGAAAGACACAATGAACTCCCAACAATTCACATTCCTCGAATGGCTAACATAACTTTCTCTTCCATGTGTGTGTCTTCATATGGCTACGAATAAGTGCAAGTGTGTGTGTTTGTGTTGCACCCAGCCCACACTAACTGTATTCACCCTAAAGCCCTAGAATTAGCTAGACCCCAAAAAAACCCAATAATTACTACTTCACCTACATGGTGCCCACCCTGTAGCAGTGCACTGGCAGGAAGACATTTCCCATCAACCCCTGGGGCTGTGAGCTAGTCCTGCCATGTTTATTTTTTACATTTTCTGTACTTCCTCAGGTGAAACAAGCTTACCGGGATGATAAAAGCACGCACGCTCAGAGAAAGTGTGGATGGGAGTACATAATCACAAGTACACACAAACGAAACACAAAGATGAACATAAAAACACGCTAAAAAAAAAACATGCACACACAGGCAGCATGCTCATATGGAAAGTGCTTATGCACACACATCTGAAGATGAACATCATACAGAAACACATAGACTATAAACACACTTAGAGAGTACAGATCAGACCAGCACAAGCATGCATGCACACATAGAAACACACCTATACACACACCTCTCTGATCAATAAAATATGGCACAAGTTGGAGTGATACAAGAGGGAGACAGCAAGCTGCTGGGCTGGTTGTCAATAGCAACAGTGTTTGGGAGGCTGATCACCAGTAATTGCAGTGAGCACTGCTGCAAAGCATGGTGGGATATCACTACCATCATCTGACTATAAGGCAGTTCAACACTATGCGATGTTTTACAATCAGCATATGAGATAAAGGTTAATGTTTATGTATATGTCAGCGCTGGGGGCATGCACACCTATAAGCTCCATCATGTAGTTCATCCACATGTCTGCTTGACTCTCACCAAACTATTTCACTGACTTTGGTAATGCAGTGCTACATTTAAAAAAAAAAAAATCACAGTACGGGGCGCCTGGATAGCTCGGCAGGTAGAGCGGGCGACCCATGTACAGGGGCTATAATCCCTGATGGTTCGATTCTAGCGGCTCGTTTGCTGCATGTCATTCTCCCACTCTCCTCCCCACGTCTCTCTGTCTATCTTCACTGTCACCTATCATTAAAGGCAGAAAAGCCCAAAAAAATATCTTAAAAAAATAAAATATCACAGTACATCACATAGTTTGGACACAGAGTGTGAGCTCGCACAATCCGGCTCTGAGCAGAGAAATAGTTTTTGTTAAGATGTCAAAATTTCCACTCTGATCCCTGCTCACAGTCTCTGGTTCCAGCAACAAGTTTTGAGCAAATCGCAGACACCTGACGTGGTTCCATCACATAAGGCACTTTGGTTTGTCAAGCTGAAACCACTGACACATCACAAAACGCGACTCCCACAAGTCATTATAACAGAGATATCCTGTCAGTCCCAGGAGGAAAAAGCGAGAAAGAGCATGAGTGTATGTGCACATATATATGTCTCCCATAGTGTACCCTCTTAGCTCTCATGTTGCTGCCGTATGCAACATAATGCAGAGACAGATCAATACGAGCACTGCTATATGGCCCACAGACAAGGGGAGGAGGGGGTGTCAGGGTAATTACTTTGTCCTCTGGGGGTGTATCACTCTCACAGCCAACAGCCTAGATCTGAATGTGGGTCACTACACACTCATGTAGCTGCACACATAGACATAAATGAGTGGCCAGCAGTTCCAGATGAAGGTCGGTGGGAGTAAAACCAGGTCAAACAGGATGTAGGCAAGAGCCTAAATGCACCACAGGCACTTAACTGGAAATACATGGACAATAAGTGTTCGATATTATCACTCTGAATCGTTTTTTCATCTATTCTGACTTGATAAATGTATGCTTTTACGATATAATGGCTGACTGTACTGTACACACTAACTGTAACTTCAGTGCTGTTTAAAATATTACAAAGTGCCACAGGAAGATGAAACTATTCAGTCTGAACAGCATCTCACAGTTTCCAGAGCGACAACAGGACAGTGCATCGATTCATTAGGCTTCACCTGAGTAAGTGGCTGCTAAAAGCCTATTCAAGCCCCTCTTTAACGGTGTTAACTCCAACCTTCAGCGACAACAGCATTTAAATGCAACCCGTCGAAATCACAATGCCTCTCTTAAAAAAGTCAAAGTCATTTGCGGGTAATTTTAAACACGGGGATTGTAATGTGTGACAGAAGGAATTCAAGTGCTTCTTTTTTTTCCCCCACTCATGACTTAAAAGCAGTAAAAACAGAACTAATGGCATTTCCATTAGCTGTTGTGTTAAACCATGAAATAGTGTGTCAAAATACAACATTTTAGGATAGATAGAAGCTTGAGGGAACCCACCAGCACATTTTTACAGTGAAAAATACAACTGAGCTGCTTTAAATGTGAAAGGCAGGTGTCCCTGTGCAGGTACAGTCTGCTGTGAGGATGATGAATCAGTGGTTGGAGGCAGATATGAAGCTACAGATGTCTTGAATCATGCCTCTGATGTTACACAATGATTTAACAGAAGGTTTACAATCAATTTAAAGATATTTTTCAATGGCATTCCTGTATTATATGAGCTGGGTTCCTGTCGCTGGAGGCTGCCGATGCTTACCTACATTATGTAAACAAACCGACATATTTCCATCTGAAATAAAACAACCAGAGATTTCAAATATGTGCGAGGCGCGAACACAGCACTCTGAACTCCACTGGGTGAACCGGAGGCTGGCTGTAAAATGTGAATTATCGGCTGGCTGAATTATTCCACTGTGTTGTCATTTACACACACACCTCCGTTCAGACCTCGTCCGTCGCTGCCGAACCAAACGCAGCCTCCCGGAGTCCATTATCGGACAGACCGAGTGTTGCCCACCGAGTGACATTTCAGCACATTTACCTGAAAATGGTGAATTCCGTCGTTTCGAGCCGACTCTCCGGAGCTGCCAGGCCCGGATGCCGTCCTCCGCTTTATCCGCCCACTGAAGTAGAACACGGCTCCGTGTGCGCTCGGTTTCGGTTCCAGACGCTCCGACAGAGAAAGAAACGTCCTCCGGAACACACGCACTGGTACGAGGCTGAGAGGACGGAGAGCCGAAGACCGAACCCCGAAAATGTCGTCTGTTCGGCGGTGAAGGCAGTTTAAAGAGGCTGGAGGAGGACCTGATGTCGACAGACACGGAGGGAGCAAACACGCAGCAAGCCGCCGGCAATGTCAACAACGGCACTTCCGCTTGGCGCTTCAAAATAAAATCAAACCGCGCGCACCCACTGTTGTTCGCCATCACAGCTTTCAAAATAAAAGTAGTTTTATAGTTAAAGACCCTGTATGGTGAAAATCAATTTTTGATGTGTTTTGAGTGGAGATGTAAAATAAAAGTTAAGGATGTTTACTTATACCACTCCTCAAGCCTCCCCACAACTAGTTAGCCTCCCAGTTTACAGGCCTGTGAGATTTGATGTTTGACCCAGGTGTTACCACACACCTAAGTAACCCATAGCAGTGTGAATGACTGGACAGGATGAGAAAGGCAGCAGGTCTTCAGAGCAAAACAGCCCATTTCGAGCAGTTCTGAAAGCAGGAGCTATACAGTGGTGGTGGAATGAATGAACTGAACGACTTTAATTAATTTGCTGAAAAGGGGCAGAAATGGGTCCTTTAAGGTATAATATACCCATTAGTACTGTGCAAGCATTTTTGTTTTATTCAAAGGCATTTGATACACTTGAATATAAGCTGCATTCCAAAACACCTAGCAGTAAAATGATTTTAAATTCTTTCAAAGTTAGGGTAAACTGGGGTAAAAGCCCCCACATTGAGTTCTCTCCTGATCACTAGATATAGTCAGTTTTTCTTTTCAGGTCTTTTTCTAAATGGTAGTGGCCACTATTCTTTAAATAGTATTAGAATCATTTTTGCTGGTCTGAAGAAATCAAAAGAAGTGGTTTTAAACAATCGTGATAAGAGAATATCCATACAAACAAACATTTTTTTACTGTTTACATGAGAACCATATGGATGGTCATGTTTTAATTTAAACAAAAAATAACAAAAGCTCTTTTGAAATATGAGAAAATATAAGAGTAGGACTTTTGGGGGATATGGGGTAAGAAGTTAGTCCTTAACACGGACTAGCCCCCCCCATAGACATCAGAGACTTTCAATACTTTAGCCCAGATTACTGATAACTTTGGGACACCTTCATCTCATTCAAATACATAAAAAGGACCCAGCATCCAAAAAAGTCTTATTTTCAGTCTAAAAATTTAACTAGCTAATTATATGTTAAACTAATACTGGTAACCATATTAGCGTGCTGTAGCACAAGCTAGCCAACCTGCAGAACAGTACACATGCTCCAAATGATGCTTCCATTATTTGACTAATTTTGCCTTTTAATACTTTATTTTTATCCAGGTTTCTTATTTGTGTGCCTTCTCAGCTACATTGTGAATGTGAGGCCTCATTACACCCTGATATATACTCTGAGCTTAAAAAAAACTTGAATTAATCAATTCTCAGTGCTCTGTTTTGACATATTTATTATGAGGGAATATACAGGAAGTCGACCAGAAGTCCCATCCTAATAATAACACTCTGCAGCTTGACAGAGCTGGGAGCAGGACTAGGAAATGCATGAAAATGAAACAATGGGCATCTTTATTTGAATAGCTTGCCTTTCCGCTGTTTCTTGTTCGTCATTGCAACACGGTGGCCTTTCCAGCAGTCTAACACTGTAACACTGTAGTTTTCTGAATGCAACATCTCCTTTGTCCCAGTCAGTCTTCAGCAATACACTGAACACACAAGTTTAAGCATGAAAAGGAGTATTCATCTTTTAAAAAACAGCAAACAAACAAAAAAAAACAGGCAATGTTTACAATATTACAGAAGTAGTCCATGACCACAGAGGTACTAAATTCTGTCAGGTTGCCAGTTATGTCAGTCTGTGCCAATTTAGACGCAATTCAGGAAATATATTGTTGCACCATCTCAGATTTACTTCAGTTTTCATAAATGTGCTCATATGGGTCAAAAAGTAAGTGATGTAAAAAAAATAAATAAAAATAAAAAAACCTTTGCCTGTACTGGATTTTTTTGTGTTTGCACCCTCAAAGAAAAACTGAAACTAAAACTAACAAATATCTTCCCAGGAAAGGCATATTTAGGATTCAATATTTAGTTGTTTTTTTTTAATTAATATAAGAAGGCGGTATGCGGGCCCCACAAATTTCTTCCTTGCAATCGCATATTTATGGATTGATCCAGATTTCCGACTAAAAAATGCAGTTTGTGTTGGGTCCATAATAACAAATAGGTAAACAAAACCTGAGGCAGTGGAGCAACACCACTACCTAAATAAACAAAGGCTGACCCAGTTGGTTGGGCCAAAAAATATTTTCAAATAAGTAAATTTAAAAAGATCCTTAGGCCATTTCCTAATCTCTTTTTTACAACTACAAAAGAAATAGTGAAATTAGGTTTGTTTTTTTTTTGTTTTTTTTAATTTCAAGTTAATTGATCGTGTCATCAAAAACGAGTGAATATTTAATTTCTAATTAGATTATTTATAGATGAAAAACTGTTTATATGAATAGCTATAACGTCTATCACAGCTACTATGAACATAATTGGCATTAGGTTAGATTTTTTTTTGCATAGCTTGTATAGAAAAATATACACTATAAAATGTGTTGTTGTGTGGCGCCACCTGCTGTTTAAAAGCTGCAATAACAGAGTTTCTAAGTAATCCTGTTGTTGTTGGCAATAACTGTAAGTAAAGAATGCTTTATTTATTTAACCTGTATTTAACCAGGGAGTCCCGTGATATTAAAATCTATTTTTTGAGGTGGTCAAAAGGACGCCCCATTATAAATTAAAATGATAATACATATGAAAAGTACAAAAGATGATAAAACTGAGCTTGACAGCATTTGACAGAGGACCAAAACAAAACAGGCAGGTGATCAGGACACACAAAACCACTCTTTTGATCAGATCTTTAAAAACCACCAGTGAGACAAAATCATGACGGCGTATTGTGTTCTGAAGGTTATTCCAGGAACAGGGACCTAAACAGGAACAAGTTGCTCTGCCAAGTTCATGAGCGACAAACACAGCAGCTGTTGGTCGGTGGCAGAATGAAGGGAGTTCACCTCTGCAGATAAAACACATCAGCTCTGCAGCATAATGAAGTCAAAGA